AACCACTCAAGCCTTTCTTGCTTCTTCCTCATTAATTTCTCCTCAGTTTAAGGGGGTTTTTTTTGGGGGGGGAGACGAAAGGAAGATCTCAGTAGCATCTCCGAAAACAGACGTAGCCTACATAAAATGATTCCCATCACCTTTTCTTCCAAACTAGTTAACTCACCTACTAGCTAAAGTAAGAAGGAATGTAGAAATCTGCTTTATATGAAATCGGACCATGAGTCCACCTAGCTCAATATTGTCTGCACTGGAGATGGGGAATCTGCAGCCCTTCAGATGTCATTGAGCTCTGAGTCCCATCATTCAGACACTGGCCAAGATGGGTGGTGTTGATGTGTGTTGGAGCCCAACAACAACATTTAGAAGTCCCCAGGTTATACACCATAGCCTATGCTGATGGGCAGTGTAATCCCAACATTCTTCAGCTAAACTTAATGCATCTGGACACCAGGTGAGGACTTTATTTTAAAGAAAATACATTCAACATCTGTGCAAGAAATGTGTATACTAGGGGAAAGTGTACCAAAAGATCTTTACATTAGTGAAAGTTGCATGCAAGAATTCATTGCGTTAAGAAAAATTGTGTATGTTCTTTTAATTTATATAAGGATCTTGGTGTACACTTTCCCCATGTATATTAAGCTTTGTATAGTTTTTTTGTTGGAGAACTGGATCACAAAATCTCACAGGATAACTGCATCCTATTTAGTGCAGCTGGACAGCTCAGTTGGTTAGAGCATGATGCTGCTATTGCCAAGGTTGCAGGTGCAATCCCCATAAGGGATGGTTGCATATTCCTGTATTGCAGGGAGTTGGACCTGATGATCCTCAGGGTCCCTTCCAACTCTTGTGAATCTGTGATTATTTTGGGAAGTCTGAATTTGCCAAGCGGGCATGAAAATGTGAAGGAAACCGAATTTCCTCTGGCATCCCCAGAGTCACTATAGCAGAACAAGGAAACAAGCAAAATGTCTGTGGCAGCTTGTCAACCCAGTGTATACTAGGGATGAGTGTATTCCACAAAACCATTTTAAGCAATCGTTTCATTTCTATGTTTCATTCTGCTGGCCTTTCACCAAGAGCAGAGGATTTCAACAGGTTTACAATGATTTGTTAAATGTATTTTAAGTGCATGTTAAACTTGTTATGGTGTCCAAGGTTGGGTGAAGAGAGACAGAGAGAAGATCCTATACAAGTTTAAATTGCTGTATTGAGTTAGGTCCACTTGACTTAATTAAAAAGTACATTTATTTGGTTTATTTATTTAGTGCTTTAGAGTAACATATTTCGCTGCTGGTGGTTTCAAAAGGCTGAATGGGGATTTTCTATTTATTTAGGTTGATATCCAACTGTGAACACCCACAAACGGACTTCCACTTGCACGTGCTGCAACATACCTGGTGGGTAAGAAGGAGCCTTCCAGCATGCCCAAACACTTCCAATATGACCACTTAAAGGTGGGCTTCCTGTTCCCTCCCAGCTGGCCAAGCAGCCCTGCTTCACCACCGTTCCTTCTGCTGCATACCTTATCATGCGTGGGGGCAGCAAACACACCCTCCACCTGGAAGCTGCAGGTAGCGTCTGCTGGGACTGCATGGTGACAGCCTAATGAACAGGCACAGTGGTGATTCACATTGAGATAACCAGAACATTTACAAATATGGGTATTATTTAGTGATATCTGGCATCCTTTGAAAAGGTCTTCAAATGTAATTATGACTTCAGTTGCTGTGCATGTCATTAATACCAGCTCATTTGCTGTTGTGGTTTGATGAGTATGAAAACATGCCCAACATGTTTCTATAACTGAATATCTTGCAGTGAGACGGTCTTCTGCTTCAGTGCTACTGAGTCATGTCTTCATGACTCATTTCATCATATAGTTCTGTATTTCCAGAACATCAAGATAAGCCCTTCCCCTGTTTTTCGCACACAGCCTGCCAAAGTTTTTCGGGAGACAGGAAGGCTTGCTCACAACTTTGTGATACTTTGGTTGACCCTAACAAAGAAAATGCATTAAAAACTCTCTCTCTCTCTCTCTCTCTCTCTCTCTCTCTCTATATATATATATATATGTTCTGATGGACGAACACAGCACAGCTCCCTGAAATTCTTGTGTGATTCGGAGAATGTTTCATTTATCTGTCCAGTACGGGGATCTATGAACTGGAGGGAAATTATATTTACTAACTGAAGATGGAACTTAACCGGAGAGGAGGTCTTACATGCCTTTCAAAGATTAGGCAATTCAGCACATAAGAACACAAGAAGACCCTGCTGGATCAGGCCAATGGGCCATCTAGCTCAACATCCAGTTCTCACAGGGACCAACCAAAAGCCACCAAGATGCCACCAAGCAGAATCTCACTGCAGCAGCATTCTCCACTCCTGTGGTTTCCAGCAACTGCAAATCAGAAGTAGCCACTGATAAAGTTATCTGCTATGAATTTGTCTAATTCTCTTTTAAAGCCATCTGAAATGTCTCTGAGTGTACTCAGTAAATAAATCTCTAGTTTTGCTGCTAAAGAGTAGTAGTAAATATTTGGGTAGTGCTCCAGAAGTGTCCTCCTGACACCTGCTGCCGCTGGATGGTCTACCGTAGGGGAAAAGTGGGGCAATGGCGAGGTCAAGATTGCACAGGTGCATCAGTAGGAGTGCTGCATTGGCTCCACTGGCGTGTCTGTGCTGTCCAGGCTCCCACCATAAAACATGCCAGCAGAGGGATCTTCCTTTAGGTAAATAGCTATGCAGGCTCAGTAGCTGGGTAAAGGCTCAGGGGTCACAGTTCAGGAGTTCAATGGCAAGGCAAGAAATTCAGAACTGAATGGAAGAATGGAAGATGCCCCAACAAGTTTACACACCCTGTCCACCAAGCTTTTAATGACAAGGCCCGGCACACTCACTTGTGAGACTCATTTGCCTTGTGGGAATGTCAAGATTGCAAAAGTCTGCCCAGAGTGGATTGCTCTGTTCCCATCTGTAAAGGTGGCTCCTGGTTCTAGGTGGCAAGACTGAAACCTCCTGTTTAGTTACTGATGCCTCTGGTTTTGCCTCCCCACTCAGCTGCCCCAAAGCCCTCTCAAGCCCCACTGAGGCTCTCCACTGAGCAGGAAGGATGGGGGAGACCTAGTGTCTCTGCTCCTGTCTTCTGAAGTGGCTGAAGCTTCAACCCTGGTTCCCACCATTCATCTCTCTCCCAGTTCTTCTTTCTCTTTCTCCTCCTGCATCGGAGCCCACCAATCCAAAACTCAACTTGACAGCATTGTGGGGCTCATGACATGTGCAGCCCCAACTGGCCTCACCCCAGTGCAATTCAGGTAAACCATAGTGAAGCTGGTGTCAAGACGTTGGCTCCACAGCTCTCCTGTACCACACTGACCACAAATGACTGGCTATGTTTTTAATAGAGTTGGAGACACAACCCAAGTAACTACCATATTTCATATTTACGAGGGGGAAAAAAAGAATAGAGAGAGACAGCTAGTCTTGCTTCCTTGTTCACATAGCCCCAGAGGCATCCTGCAACCTGTCTTGCACCTAATTTCATTTATTTGTGTATTTTAAAATTTACCCCTATTCTTATTAATGGAGAAGAAACCTTTTCAATCTTTCCTTCTTTTTTAAAAAAAAACAATTGGGTAAGAGACAAACTTTAGTCCAGAAGACATGGATCACATCAGAATTTGCAAAATCTAAGTCCCCCAAGCACCACTAATCATAAATGACTGCAAAGGGCTCGTCTCAGCATAAAATAATCTCTGGTTATATCTATATTAGAAGCTATATAATTGTAAATGTATTCCACCTATTATCTTCATAGCTGCATTCCGAGCCTACTTAGTGTTTGCGTCGCCTCCGAAAAAGCTTTGCTCCTCGGTCAGTTCAGAAGATCGACCACGTACATCCCACACATATTGCAAAATCTTACTAGCGAGCGGCTGGACATGGAGGCTTCCTTGAAATTGTTTGTACTCCAAAAATGTAATGATAGGAACATTAAAAATACATAAATAAGAATGCAACGAGGCGAGATATGACTGCATTACTAGAGAGTGAGTTATGAGTTGAAGAGACAAGTGACTGTGAGATGAGATTGGAAAAGAGATATGGAGTCAAATCGTCACATGGGGGGGGAGGAAACTGCCTTTGCTTGCAGGAGAAAATTGGCAATTTTCTGAGGCATGGATACAATTTTCCATAACTGGGACGTATGCATCAAAATAACTCTGCAGCTTACTGACCTTGGCAATACAAAAGAAAGAATTGTGAGTGTCTGCGTAAACTACTTTTGAATTGCAGTCTTTGATATTCATAGTACAAAACAGAAAAGATTTCCTCAACCAGGACAACATGCATTACAAGTTTTCTTCTGTGGACAAATGGAGCCCCCTGGAATACTAAGAAAACTGTATGCGTCCATAAGACAAAATGGTCCAATTTGAACTCTTCCCCTGTCTCCAAAAACAGCCACCAATGGATGGAATTTGCATTGAAGATCAGAAAGCACTTATAACTCACCTGGCAACTTTTGAAAACTATAAACATGATCTTATCCCGCCTTTCCCATAAGCTTCCACTTGAACCATAATTCACATGGAGCAGTTGGTGTTAAGCATGTAAGAAAGGATGCATCCATCAGTTTACCATTCCCACCACATTGACACATGTTCCATCCCATTTCTGAATTAATCAGCTACTTCCTAATCCACATTAAAAATCTGCCTTTAAATGTATATTGCACTTCCTCACAAAATTACCCATTTCTATGTGTATTTTGTTTCAGAATACTCAAGCACCCCTGAAAGAACAACCCCCAAAATTGCTTGAACAATTTTGCTTCCTGCTTCTGAAGCTTGGCAGAGGAGGGACTTCTCAACCAATTTCAAGACTGAAGTCATCTCAGTGCAGCAATGATGTAGAAAGCAAATTTCATAATAGGGATTGCTAGGGAAAAGATTGAAAAGGAAACAGGCAGTATCATCATCATTGGGTAAAGGGCTGTAGCTCAGTAGTAGAGCTTCTATCTCACATGCAGAAGGCAACAAGTTCAATCCCTGGTGTCTACATGTAGGGTTGTGAATGACTCTCTGTCTAACATCCTGGAATGCCACACATGTCCCTACTGAAATTCATTTTAATCGTTTTGTTAGTTTGGGCCCAGTTCTCCAATCTGTTAAGGTCACTTTGAATCCTAATTCCCGTCAGAATTATACTTTCTGTGCCCTCCTCCACTTCCTTCACTCAGGTAGGAAGGTTCCTTCTACTGAGTCACACCTTCTACTGTGAACACCAGCCTTTCCAGATATTTTGGACTATAACTCCCATCATCCCTCACCATTGGCCATGCCTGGCTAGGGCTGGTCAGAGTTGTAGTCAAGTGATGTCAAGAGGTCATCAGGCTGGGGAAGGCTAGTCTTCACTGTTTGGCAATGCCTCTCCAGGTTTCTGGAGCCTTTCCTGGAAATGACCGAGACTGAACCTTACAAAGCATTTGCTCTATCAATGAGTCATGACCCTTTGCCTGATATTATCTTAATGAACAGTCCTTGATTCTTTTTGACTCTTTTTGTCAGTAGATCCCTCGGCTTGTCTCCACATCCTCTGTGGTCAGTACCACTTCTCAGTGTCACACCTCAGAAAGTTGACTAATAGATTAACCATTACAGGCAGGGCTCCTCCTCTGTCTCTTCTTCTCGAGGCACCTTTAACAGATGAGCAGTGATTTTAATCACTGTCAGGCAAAGGCGGCCATAAACAATCCAAGAGATACATCTTCCCTGACATGACCCTTATTCGCTTCAAATAAAAAGTCACTGTCCTTGATTAACATTGTGCTGCTGAATTTGATGTCCCCGTAGCGACATTGATCAAGGTTTAGAACAAGATGGAAAGTTCAGCTCCTTGAATATTTTTTTCCTCCTTCCATGCCGTTTACTTGGCTTCTGAAAAACAGGCCTGAAGTGCAGTTAAGAGGACCCGTTCCTTTCAAGTACAGCAGTCTGGTTAGGGAGACATTAATGGTGGAGTCCAGAGAAAGAGCAGAGGATCTGTCTTTCCTTTTTGGGTGATATGAGCTGCTTTGGGAAAGGCAATGATTGTCTGCAAAACTAACTAACTAAATAAATAAAGTAAGTTTCCAAATATCCAACCCAACTTATACCACGCTGGAGGGTTTGTGGCCAGAGATGTAAAGGTAAAGGGACCCCTGACTGTTAGGTCCAGTCGCGGATGACTCTGGGGTTGCGGCGCTCATCTCACTTTATTGGCTGAGGAAGCCGGCGTACAACTTCCGGGTCATGTGGACAGCATGACTAAGCCACTTCTGGCGAACCGAAGAAGAAGAAGAAGAAGAAGAAGAAGAAGAAGAAGAAGAAGAAGAGTAGTTTGGATTTGATATCCCACCTTTCACTCCCTTTAAGGAGTCTCAAAGCGGCTAACATTCTGCTTTCCCTTCCTCCCCCACAACAAACACTCTGTGAGGTGAGTGGGGCTGAGAGACTTCAAAGAAGTGTGACTAGCCCAAGGTCACCCAGCAGCTGCATGTGGAGGAGCGGAGACGCGAACCCGGTTCCCCAGATTACGAGACTACCGCTCTTAACCACTACACCACACTGGCTCTCAACAGAGGCTCAACACTGGCTCAGAGCAGCGCACGGAAATGCCATTTACCTTCCTGCAGGAACGGTACCTATTTAGCTACTTGCACTTCATGCTTTCGAAATGCTAAGATGACAGGAGCAGGGACCGAGCAACAGGAGCTCACCCCGTCGCGGGGATTCAAACTGCCCACCTTCTGATCAGCAAGCCTTAGGCTCTGTGGTTTAACCCACAGTACTACCTGTGTCCTTCTAATGTCAGCCAAACTCTGCTTCAGAAACTGGACTCCTATCCATCACTGCAGCCGCGAGCAGAGGATCCGGCCACTGCCCATATGGCATTCGAGCGGGACAGGTGGCAACCCGCTGTGCCTGCATGCGCTGTACATGGTGATGCCGCATGTGTGCCCTACGTAGCAACGCCACGCATGCTTCGTATGTAGCGACGCCACACATGCGTTGTATGTAGTGGTGCAATGGGTGCACAGCCGGCGGTTTGCCCTGTCACAGGTGTCGGTTAGCCTTCATTCGCCCCTGATTACCACATCAGCTGCAGGCTGGTACAGCAATTGTCCTGTCAAACCACTCTGAGACCTGTATCTCTGTGAAGGGAAACAGGGTCTCTTAACAACTCTCAGTACCCTTAAACTACAGACCCCAAGAATCTTTGGGGGAAGCCATGGCTGTTTAAAATGGTATGGTAATGCTTTCCATGTGTGCTGCAGATGGGCCCTAATTAGGTCTGCAGGCTGGAGATACCCCTAGGTATTTGAATTTCCACAGAAATTCAAACTAGCAGAGGCCAACTACCATCTGCATGGTTAGAAAGTGTCTGAACAGAGCTTACATCAGACCTGACACCAACTTCTCTGTACTTAGCTACCTTGCACCATACAAAATCCTAAATGGAAGATGTCCCAGCTAGGGATGGGAAATTCTGACAATAATTATGTCTCTTGGCATCTTGTTTTTTTTTTCCATTCTCAGATTCAGCTCTCTACATTTCCACTCCTGTTTGCATTTTTGATAAGTCCTTATGAAAACTCATCAACATTTCTGTGTGAATTTCTCCTAATATTCATATTTTTGAATGCAATTTTCACTAATCTTTGCCAAGCGATTTCCTCTAATATAATGCAAATCTAAGAACACTTTGCTTTAGTGTATGCATCTCATTACATATCACTAGGCTGAGGGACTGCATTGCAAAACTCAGAAAAATGTGAATTTCAAGGGACCTCTGTGTTTCGGTTTACATATTGCTTCAGAAAGTGCAAATTACATAGGTTGGCCTATAAATGCAAACTAAATCTAAATTCTCTCCCCATCTCTAGTTCAAACTTTAATACATGCTGGAAGAACGAAGAAGGTTGCCAATCAATTACACCGTTATCTGATCCACAGACGACAAACTGACCTTGAAGCTTCCTTTGAGATTTGTGGCCCAGGAGATAATGACCAAGGGTGGCTGATAGACTATGCAGCAACACAGTATATGAATCTCTGTTGAATTTACTCCCAGTAGCAGTATATCACTCTAGTGCCTGAAGTACTACTTATTCTAGCACCTTTACCTCCGATGGCATTATAAGCACTTTATCTTTTTCCGTATCATTAAGGGAGAGAGCTCTCGCAGAGTGGCAGGAAACAATTTACACTTTCTGACAGAAATATATATATATACGATGGGAAACAAATAGAAGGCCAGTCACCAAGACTTCAAGAAGCCTTGCAAAATGACTGAGAGCAGAGAGCTTTTTAGGCTGGTATTTTGGTTGAGCTGGATGCAAAGCAAACTCAGCTATTCTAATCTGTTATATTCCCAGAGGATTGTTGTACTTTGTATTTTGCTCTACCTGTCTTCTGCTTTAACCTGGAGAGTTTCTAAAACTGATTTCAGAATTGCTTCATTTATAGTTTGCAGTTTTCAAGTCTGCCTCTTCTTCTTTTTTGCATTAACGTTTGCATTCAGGACCTATGTGCACTGCTTAAACAACAAGCAAAGAGGAATCTTGATGTGATTGCATCAAGATTCCAATGTGCATGTTGATTTGATTAGAGATGAGTCCAAAAGGAGTCTGCTCCCTGCTACAAATTTGACATATTGATGACTTCAGGGCATGGAGCGCAAACAGTACACAGTTTTAGGGTAAATTTCCCGTTGGGTTGGCCTGTTTACCAACTAGGAGCCACAAAAAGGCAGACAACATGCCCTCACTCTGATTAGGCTTCATTACAATGCTACAGAATGAAGCCTAATCAGAGTGAAGGTAGTGCTTTCTGCCCTCAATCTGGAGCCTAGTGAATAAACAAAAATTATGTCAGCCAGCAGCTGGAGCTCTCCATGACTGTCATTGCCCCCTGCCATTATAACAATGAAACAGGCAGTAGCAGGAAAAGAAGTGGGGGAAAGGAGCTATGGGGGCTGTTTCATGAATTTTTATACCCCATCCCAGAAGCCTTAACTTAGAGCCCCTGCTTCAGAGGTTCAACCTTCATGTTTGGCAATATTTGATCTTGGGGAAGTATTCCATGAAACCAAGTATGTAAATAATGCCCTGTTTTTTCACATCATGACAACAAAAGTAAAAAAGTGGATTCTTTGTTCTCTTGCCCTGCATGAGTCAGTGTCAATACACACAACACTACTAGAGTATCTGAAGGATCAATGTTTCCAACATGTGCCTGCCTCTAGACAAGGGGTTGCCAAACTTTTATGGCTAGTGGGAATACTTGGAATTTTAAGAAATTGCCATGGGCACCAGTCACAAAATGGCTATTATAGGAGCAAGGCATAACACAAAATAGCTGCTGTAGGGGTATGGCATAATGGCTTCAGTGTAGAAGAGTCTGAGCAAGTGTAAACTAGAACTGAGCAGGAAGAACAAACCGTCTCTTTTTATCCTGGACTGGCTGGATACAGAGGAACGGTAGGAGGAACCGGCTGGGGAACCACCAAGGGAAGAAGGCTCAGAACCCAGGGATTGTTGGTGGGACAATGATGAATGGTCAGAGGGAGTAGACTGGGAATAGGAGGTGTCAGAGGTAGAAGGGGTAACAGGGCTTAGTAAGCTGGGAGAGTCAATGGCAGAGAGAAGTCAAGAATCAGAAGTTGAAGCTGGCTAGTGGGAGGTTAAGAGGCAGAGATGAGTCAGTCTGGTGAAGAGTCATGGGTGTCTCTCCCTCCTGCTGTGACAAGCTTGCCTCCCCACTGTCTCCCAGAACCCAGAATCAGCTGCACACAGGCATAGTCTCCAATTGCTTGGGGAAAGCCCTGGAGAGGAGGAGACATGGACAGCTGTGGGAAGACAGGGACCTTCAGTCTTGGCAACAGGTTTCATGGAGTAAGACCTGATGTGCTCATTAGGCCTGACACTCAGCCAAGTCTGCGGAGATCATGTTTTTGCTAATAAAGAATTAATTCCAACTTTGAACTGTGTAATCTACTGACCAGCACACTGTGTGACATT